TATTCATTATTAGGCCATTAACCAAATTGATCCTTTCTCCTGAGGTTACTCTTATCAGGCATTTGATTATAGTAGCAAGGAAAGTAACTAGTATAATGACAACTGTGATGTGTGGACAAGTTCTTCAAGTTCTCTTTATGCAGTGTTCTCATCATTAAAATGGGAAAAAGGCGTGGACCAGGTGTTATGAAAAGTAGAAGAGTTAGTAGTTATTGATTTGTTTTATAGAGTTCAGTGTTTCCTTGAATGATGTTTATCTTCCTGGCATCTTATTAGCTATATAAGACCTGCAGGGCCCATCTGCCCACAATAGTACACAAAGGTCACAGTGTATTGGCACGGGAGATAAGTCACGTCCAGCAAAATTCTTGCTGCACATAGACTAACTACCCACTTGTCTGCATAGATGTTTTTGGAGTTTATAGCTGAGTCTGTACCTCAGAGCATGGTACAGGTGTGAGAGATCTGTGTATTAGCTTTAGTTAGCCTGACTGGCAGGGTTGAACTGAGACATCGTTCTTTGTCTATTTGTGATTTTTTTTTTTTTGATGAAAGGCATTTCAACTGGCTTTATTGAATTTCTATTGAACTAACATAGTCTGAGCTTTGGAGGCAAATTTTTCTAATTAAAAGATAATAGATCACTTTAGCATTGGAGATGACAGTGACATTAGGTGGAATTGTGGGTCAATAGGGAAAGAGGGATCGCCCAGTTTGAGTTTCAGTGGAAGGGCTTCTGGGAAAGTTAAGATAGAATGTATTGAATTTCTTTAAGTAGAAAACAGGCATTGATCAGGACCATAAGGGACTGGTTGGCCAACACTTAAAACAAAATCTGAAGTCCTCAATACATTGTTAATCTAAGCGAGGGATGATATAGCATTACAAACAATTTCAGATAAAATATTGTTATATTTTCGAGGGTACTTTTCTTCAACACTTCATGTGATTATTTGGAGATGTTGAAAGAAAATTAATTCCTTGTTGCAAACAAACAAGGAACGTTTTTATAGTTCTTATTTGGTAATATGGGGCTGGAGAGATTAGTGGTTAAAATCACTGGCTGCTCTTCCAGAAGTCCTGAGTTCAGTTCCCAGAACCCAAATGGCAGCTCACAAATTGATTCCCCCTTCTCATCTGCAGGCATACATGCAGACAAAGCACCTCTATACATTAAATAAATATGTAAATAAATAAAAAAAATCTTCAGAATTGTGTAACCCAGTTGGCCTCAAACTTGTGATCCTTCTGTCTCCACCTCCTTCAGCAAATCCTACTGGAGTGCACCACACAACTGGCAGCAGGTCAAACCACGGTGAGGACACCTACTGAAACAGTCTACCTGAGCTGGTGGGAGCTCACCAACTCCAGCTGGACAGGGAAGCAACCAACATAGGTCCAAACCAGTCCTTCTGAATGTGGGTAACAGCTGTATGGTTGGGGCAGACTGCAGGGACACTGACAATGGCACCAGGATTTATCCCTACTGTTTTTACTGACTTTTTGGAACCTATTCTCTTTGGATGGATACCTTGCTCAGCCTATATATAGTAGGGAGGGCCTTGGACCTTCCTCAAAGCAGTGTGCCTTACCATCTCTGAGGAGTGGATGGGGGATGGGGTGGGGGGAATAAGTGGAGGGAATGGGAGGAGGTGAGGAAGTGGGAACTGGGATTGGTATGTAAAATGAAAAAAAGACAGTTTTTCTTTCTGAAAAATAAAATAAATTATTATTTTTTTTAAAAAGGAAATGCTTCCTAACTTCCTTTGCCAATGTGATAACAGTGTTATTTTTCTTTATGTTTCCATGTCATTTTCCCATGCTTCACACCTGTTATCAAACTATGACATCCATTTTACCTAAATCTGAGGTAGGAGTAAGACTCCTGATTTTTTTTTTCTTTCTAAAGAATAAATCTAGTTTTTCTGCATGTACATGATTACTTTTCAAATGTGGTATTTGATCTCTACTTTTTATGAATCACCTCATTTTAAACCCTAAAGTGTTAAGTCACGTGATATATCGTGAGCCATAATGTTACCATGGCAGGACTGTGTTTTCCACGTTGGTGTTTAGGAAATGAGTCCTAGGTAAAACCTTATGCAGATGTTGTTCGGAGAACATTTCTGATGTCTGGAACTCTCTGATGCTGCTTGGAAGGAGACCTCACATTAAGCTGCCATCTATAACAACACAGGCCATTTTGTTTTCCCACCCTCAGACTATCAATGACTGAGTTGTTATTTAGAAGGTTTTGATTTATATCCCGACACAGAAAATAAACAGCCATCACAAACAATAAATGTTAGACTTATGGTAGGATGGGAGATATATGAAACATTTGTACCAATGAGTAATGAATGATTCATGGTGATAACCATTTTCTAATGTCTTTTCCAATGTCTTCCACCCCCTCAGGATTATAATAGTCTCTTGTACACTAAGATAATTTTGAGCCACTTTATATTAGACAATCTAAGGAGATGATTTTATATTACAAAATCTAAGCTACCTCTTGCACAAGAAGGATTACATTTATGGTGTGGGAAATTAGTTTTGTTCTTCAAGATCTCAAGGGTATTGAAGTTGGTTATTTCTGCTCTCTGGACCATACAGGGAAATGCATCTTTGTGTTTCCCTCCTCAAAAAAATTCCCAGCTCTCAAGAGGCAGCAGTTTAGGGTGCTATGTCTACATATCACCCTTGTTTTCCTTATTAGTTCAGGAGTGCTCACATAATCCTCAGCTTTCCCATATCTTCCGGGATCTGAAAAAATCTTTCTAACAGTGGCCTTAATTCATTCTAATGATATTTAATTAGTTACCTTTTATTAAGTCTGTGTCTTTTTCCTAAATCATTTTAGAAACTTGTAATCATAACGATTCTAATGTCCTGAGGTGATGCTGGACAGAGCAAGTCTGGCTCCAGAATAATAATAACAAAAGGATTTTATACTTTCCTGTCCTGGATTTCTTTGCTATAATTCCCAAATGTGTCTAATAAAAGACTGACAGTTATGGATGGTTTCATACTATCAAGAATATGAGCACTGTATCACTAGGTTAGACTGAAAGTGGTTACACTAATAAAGATAAGGACCTTTTGATACATCTAAATCATTTAACCTATGCTTTATGATCCTTCTCCGTCCCAGAAGAGCAACAAGGTGGGATGTTGGTAGTTTATGGCTGAAATGAAGGAAGCATGGAATGAGCAGAGACAAGATGAATGAATGAAAGATGAAAATATATTTCTCTAGAAAAATATGCAAATATACATTTTTGTCTTTTCAATATGCTCTGTATTAATTTATACATGTACACAGCAGAAGCGTTTCACACAATTTAGGTATTACATGCAATACTGTGATAAGTGAGTTTGATTTCATCAGCTCCTACTACATCAGCACAATCACATATCAAATATTCCAGCAATATATTATCACATTTGTAGCAGAGCTGCCTGAAATACAATGTGTTTGATGTTTGTAAACAAAAAATATGAACATCACCATGTAACACTGTAATTGGAAAGAAAACACCTTCCTTTCAATTCTCCCTTACATTTAGAAAAGGAGTCACGTTCTCAGTATCCAAAGTCCACGGTCACTAGGGAAACAAAGTCTCCTCTGGGTGCACTAAATATGTAACCAGAGCCAGTCATTTTTGTTTTTACACAACTAAATCACTTCTGAAAGGCAATAATATAAGATGTCATAGATGGGCCGAGATTCAGAGGGTTTCACTTAAACTCCTCATTTAGCATATAAATTAAATAATGATAACTCTGCTGTTGCAGATCAAAAAATCGGTAATGATATTGGTTTATTCGTGGATCTTTAAAAATATTATACTGGGGAGTAGAGAGAAATGCAGAAACCTAATACTGGGTTTTGGCGAGAAGCTCTGTGTTCTAAGATGAATAGTTATGTGGCTCATGAAGTCTTATGTTGTGTTTCTCTCTCTTTTGCTGATAGCAGCAAACAGGAGGTCAACTAGAAACTAATTTGTAATTAGCCCCACTCTGAGTTTTCCCAGAAAATGCAGAGATCTTGTTAAGCTTTGAAGCTGGGTGTAAGAAAGCTAATGGACTTGTACGGAGTCTTTTAATTACCAGCCATAAACAAATCTATCTCTTACTGCTAGATAGCACCTGAGGGCAAGAGGTAATCTGCTTTATAAACCTTGGAGTGATTTGCTTTATAAATCTTGTAGTTTAGGAAAGTGGAAAACTCTCTTTAAAGAGTGTTCTCTTTCATTGAGAATTATGTTTTTGGCAGTTTTGTGAAAAATTTGGTGATAGATTCTTGGTGACCTCCCAATTTATACATGCCAGTGAGCAAAGCCCATCCAACATTGAGATCCTTTCTTACAGCATTTGCGTCTTCCTGGTAGACAGGATTATCCAAAAGCAATCTGAGTATGGGACAGTTCCAGCAAATTCACTCTAAATGCCCTTTTATTCAAAGTCTATCTTCTTGCCCAGTGCACAGGTCATCTCTGTCTGTATGTTTAAAAGTCACATCATCTTTCAGAGGTCATGTTATTTGTGCAGTTACATTGTATGGATGGTAAAAATGTAATATAGGAATTGATTGAAATAAAAAAATTAAAAATTAGATCCATAGCCAAATTAGAAAGAGTCTCATTCAAAGTCTAGTGTTAAAATTAAAAATATATAGAGTGTATTTTTTTTTTTAAATTTCTCAAAGGTATAAATGGCTCAAGATTAACAAGGAGCACCCTGTATCTGAACTAGGTCAATTTAGTGGCATTTTTTGAATAACCTTGCCTTCATTCTTAGACACTGGCATCTCAGTCCTAGATGAATGATAGAGTTCCCAAGTTGCAGTGGGAGACTCTGCTCCTAGACAGTCTTCCAAAGCAATAGTACCAAGAATAACTTTCTTCAAACATCACTATGGACAAATTCACTTAATAATTCTTCACGAATGATATGCTCAGCTCCTGGGAGGATGGGGAATCACTTGAAATGCATGGTCTATCTTCACCCAGGAAATGAAGGCTCAGAGGATCACAATGGTGTAGCTTCACATTCAAGCAGAGTCTTCGGGGACGGCAGAAGGGTCTTCCTGGATGACGTTCAAGGGAATCATTTCAGTACCCTGTTGGACTGGGTTGTTGTTGACTGGAGGATTTCTCGGTTCCTGATGGCAGATGTAAATGGGGAGGCCACCAGGCTCAGCGAAGGCTGTAACGCGAGGAGCAGCGACCACGCGGTTGTTGGCGCGGCGTCGGCGCCTTCCCCAGCGCTGCCTCCACCGGATCTTGAGCTTTGCCCAATGGCGTTTCACGGCAACTTGCACCTGGAAGAACAAAGGGATCCTTGCTTTTAATGACTGTCAGCTTAAATGCTTGACTCTTGGGGCGAATGGAGGTTAAATTGTAGATCTGCTTTAAGAACAGAGTTTATACTGTAGTTATAAAATATTCCACCCTGGAATAACAATATGCCAGTCAAAGAAGCAAGTTACTAGTCTGAGCAACAAGAGGCAAACTAGTCGCCATTTTTTGTTTGTTTTTGTTTTGGTTTGGGGGTAAAGTTTTCAGTCTTTGCTCCCAGCACCTGTGAAGGAAGGTTGACTGGTCTTATTATGTAGTAGGTAGGTCTCATTAGAGGATAAGACTTAGGAAAATTTTTACTTGCTGCCATTCATGCTAAGACATGATTTCATCCAAATCTTAACTTGTGAATCATGAAAATGTATCCATAAACGACAACACAGTCCTAAAATTTTATGATAATAAACGCATGTTGTGGATTTACTCTTACCAAACAAGGCTCCAAATGAGGAGTTCCAGATAAAACTCTAAGGCAGCGAAAACCTTTTAAAAACGAGACTTTGGTCTCTTTTAGAAAAAGCAAAAACAACAAAACAAAACAAAAGCCAATCAGAATAATTTAGAAGTCAGATCATTTGAAATCCAGGACTTCTCAGACAAACTGTGGTTATACGTGTTTGGGTGTAGCATTTTAGATTCATTAATATCTTAAACAGACAGAGAGACAAATCTTGAAATGCTGACGGCTAGGGCATGCCATGCAGCTGGAGTTCGTCTTGATAAAAGTCATACAGGCACAAGGGATGGCGTAGAACAGTTAGTTACCACTCACTGATTGCCATGCACCGTATTGTAATCACTTGATTTGCATTAATTTATTAACCCTCGCAATAGCCTCCTTCCAAGGGCACTTCTGTTCATGTTCACTCACAGGACAGAGGGCTTAGGCTATGCCAGGTGTGCACAGTCAGGGAGCTGCAATGTGGCAGAACCCGAGTTCCAAGGGAAACCTGCCTTTATGTGTAGTGTAGAGAAACCCTTCGATGTTAGGTTTGTAATCTAGAAACCATCAATGTATTCTTGAGAAATGAGGAGAGATGCCAGTTCAGTATCTTTGGAGAAAGGAAACCAATAGTTTCCATGGATTCAGTTTCTCTTAAATACCAAGGTTTCTCTTACAGCCAAACCTTACTTGAAGTTTTAGAGGTACTATTGCAGATGGCTACAAATGTAGTGATAGTTGGCATAAGTGCCCCACGAGGGGAAAAAACCCCTCTTGCTTTCGCCTTACCTGCCATTTCACAATCCCCACTAGAACATCCACATATACCGAATTACCCAGTTCAACTTTAGGCTGAAAGACTTGACGCCAATTTTAATTTTAAAAATTGTTATTACAGGAAGTCAGCCACCTTCTCTAGCTGCATTCCAAGTTTATTAGCTATCCTTTTGTGTAGTGGTGACAATCCGCCTCCATTTATAAAGTATACATAGGAAGTAGGCCCCGAGGAGCATGCAACAGACACTGCATGGCTACAGTCTAATAGGAGTGATTATCTCTTATAGTAGCAGATGGGTCTGGTACATGGACTGAATGTACTTTGATGGTGAGAATAAGGGCACTCAACCTGTGATCTTGACACAAAGCAAAACCAACCCAATCCAGAAATTTTTGTCACTTCTGGAAAGCAGGAGAAATGCGTACAGAGGTCAAGGGGCAAGTATAACACATCGCATTCTGGATTATATATGTTTATTGCTCATTGTGAAAAAGCAACAAGAACAAATAACTTTAATTTTTCTCATTGATTTTTATCAGTTTATTTATTGTTGAATTTGAAGAACGAGAGTTTGGTCTGTTGGTCTGAAGACACAGTTGTCCTCGCTTGGTTCCCGTACTTGGGGAGACACACATTATACTGAAATATTCTTGGTTAGGTTTGAATGCTTGGGGTGTCTCTCTTTTTCCTTGTTAAGCTTATTATAAGCACCTGTACTTATGTGCTGAAGCATGAAAGGTGTGATTTCCCCCCAACAATGGAAAGAAAGAGTTCAGTCTCCCTCTTCATTGTCACCTTGTCACAGTCTTACCTACCTGCTGCTCTTAGTCTGTCCATGGACCCTCTATATAAGGCTTGGTTTCCATGATGGTAATCACTGAAGCAACATGTTCATTTTAAGTCAGAATTAAAATTTCAATTTGTACCATTGCACTGTTGACCTATTATTCCCTTGGATCTTTGCCAAAACTCAATACTCAGCCAGGCAAAAATCTCATGACATACCTGTCCCAGATGTGGGTAGAAATAACTTCCTATGAGTGTGCCTTGCTTGAGGTCAGTGACAGAGGGGAAATGTATGCAGAAATGGCCAGCTGAGACCCAGTGCCTGATATACTATATTTGTGGACTGTGATACTATATTTGGCCTAGCATACCATCTTTGTATTATTAGAAATGTCACTCTTATACCTTCCGCTAGCTACATGATCTTAATGAAAATAGAAATGTTTCAAAAACAGAGAAAACATACGCAATAAATTCCAGCTATTTCAACTGTCAAGAATACCCCTTGGGTTTATTTTCTATGTCTGAGACTGCCAGTGACATTGTAGTTAAGACGCAATAAATATTGTAGCATTTTTACAGATGAGTGCAATCCTCTTGTGCTTTATAAGGCCTGGCCCTTCTGACTGACTTTTCTATTAGCTCTGTTTTTTATAATGTTTTAGATGAAAAAGTTTATTTTGTGTACTAAAAAAAAACAACTCAAAATGCAGGAGTCTCCTTTCACAGAGTATTCTCATGGTGCAGTATTCTCCATGGGATGATAGAAGCCATGTTCATGTTTTAGTATTTACTATCAAAGGATGAAAAGAGGGCTAGAGGTTCCTCTATCAGCAAAAAACAGAAGGCCATCTCATTTTTATCCTAGACTCCTAGTGCATCCCTTAGCAATCATGAGTACACAACTACATTTTGCCAAATGGGGGAATAAACTTTTGGGTAAAAAAGGGAGATGTACCAGTGAAAAATGAAAAATAAATTTCTTTCTAAGTTGGACTTGGAAATGGGCATCAGGTAACAAAGAAGGCAAGTATTTTGATACTCACTATATATTATCTAAATAAATAATACAGCACGTATTATTATTATTAACTATCAATTGTTAATGATTAGAAAATGTTTCTAAATATTACAGGATAGTATTTGGTCATATCTTACCAAACTATGATTTGTCATAGTTACTTTTAGTAGAATTACTTTTAGCAGGAATTAATTTACAATGATAGAATACCTGTGCATTAGAACTATGTGGTGTTGGGAAAGTAGAGTACATTTTCTAGGGAAGGATCACATATATAGAGACAACTTATTTAAATTTAGTTAATTTAACTGGGAGTCAGAAAGTCTGGACTCTGGTTATGGCTGTCACAACTGTATTTGTGATATTGGCTCAGTAACACCATTTTTTTTTTTTCTGGAGCTTAGACTGATCACGTGTAATTTGAGTGGAACTTTCGAATTGTACTCCTTGCGATCACAGAGGCTCACTGAAGAACCTCTAGGGCTCCAGCAGCTCCCCTTTCATATTTTATAATTGACCTGTCAGTCAATATTTTGTTGGAGGACAGTGGACTCTCGCTGAAACTACTTAAGTAACCTGGTTGTGCAGTTTCTGCAGTACACTGAACCAGATATTCATATAAGGCTTTACTCCACGACAGCAATCACTGCATGTGTTTTGAGAATCCTTTTTCAGTCTCAACTTCAGGGTCATTTTGCAAAACATTTGAATACATGGTCTAAAATGGCATAAAGCAACTGGAAAATAGGAAAACACACGGACTATTGCAGCCCAGGCGTGAGTTTCCAGAAAGAATAGGTATATGGCTTCTCATTCTGTGGGAAGTCAGAATGGCTTTTGCCATTGCTGTGGAGCACGGTGACCCACTCAGCATGCAACTGAAGAAAGTGTGAACAGAGCACGCTCCTTGTGTCCTATGTGTAACTGCACCTGTAGCCGAGACTCAGCTTGAAATAGTAGAAAAACCCCACTAACCCGTTACTACAAACCCTTATGAGATTATGCAGAAAGGAGATCTGGAGAAATTGCACTGTGGTCCTTAGGGAACTGTAAAATGCTGACTTTACACAAATGAGTGGTAGCATTACAGGAAATGCATGCTTACCTCATGGTTGAAGAAGCAGTAGATAGTTGCAACAAAGAACCCCTAAAAGGAAAAGAAACAATGTATTTGAAGTTCTCTATATTTGCCTGATGCCATTTCCTGAAATCAACACACATAGACTGTCTAGAGAGGAATATTCCACCGTTGCAACAGCGGGTCATGGTTTGATGAAACAGAAAGGCAGGGAAAACAATGATCTACCTCTTTCACTCAGTGATAAGTCACAAAAGTATTTCCATGAGAAGACTATTTCCTGCCCAGTGGTAGATCATTTGCCTACCACGTATGACACCAGGGGCGAATCTTCAGCACAAGAAATTTAAAAATCCTTCTCTCGGTAGAGAAACGTGTTTCTTGTAAAGATTCGCAATGAGAAAGGCTCGAGTGGATTTGCTTAATCTATTGCTCTGTTTAATATGGAGAGTTTTGGTGAGTGTGCTGGCTTTGGTGGATTTGGAAAGTTTTGTAACTTAAGAATTAAAAGCTGTGGCCATCAGAGAAACCTTTTGCATGTCTGAGTAGGAAGCTGTGAATTAGTCCTGAATATGTCTTTAAGAAACCCAAACTCATTTGGGGCCTTGCTTAATCCTCGTAAGGTGCCTTGTGCTGAGGTTTAAGTGTGATCTCAATAGCTTAGGTTATTAAAGAAACACCCAGGATTTATTTTTAACCTAATTAACTTCGGCCTTCTCCTCACATTAGGCCTTGGCAGTTGGAAAAAAAGGTAGTGGATTTGAAATTTACAATTGAGCGAGAAAAACTCTTGCCTCAGATCCTGTTTTAGAACCTCTTCCCGAGAACCTCTTCATGCCAAACTGACTTGACTCTCAAAGTGCCGAGCAGTTGCCTTTAGTAGTCTGTGAGCTGGCCCAAAGCTCCGGAGTGAGTGGAAATGAGGTTCTCTTGTCTAGGCTGGCTAACTGTGCAGCCCAGAACTGCTCTGGTGGCTCACTCAGTGCTCTCCTCTATAGGAAATCCAGGTCCACTGCTCCCGTCCAGTCCTAGAACTCTCCTGGATAGATTCTGACAAGGAGAGCTAAAGGAGCAGGAGGCATGGGCAGCTCTGTGTAAATGTGTTCCTCTCATCACTCCAGAACCACATTGGTTTAGGAAAGACATGCTTAGTACCTTCTAGATATACAATTAGTTGCCTGGGTGGGACCAGTAGAGGGTTATGATATCAATAAAGGGGAAACAAATGTCATATACAATCTCTTTTCCTTCAAAAGTTTTAGTTGCATCTGCTGAGGGGAAGGCTGTGAGTTTTGACTTTTAAGAACAAAGGCAATCATGGGTTTTCATCAGATGAACCTAGTAGGAAAATAAAGAATGGAGTAAACATGCATGTTGGTTTCCTTACCTGGAAATGAATCAGAAAGTGCATGAAATAATCGTAGATCTTCCCAAGAATCTTGTTGGAGGGCCTCCAGGGAAACACAACAAACTGGATCCCCAGCAGGGGCACAAGGACCATGGTAGCCTTCACAGCTTTCAGGTACATGTAGGTTTCTGCCTGATGAGTTTGCCTCAGCTTGGTCACAAGAACACGGACGATGTTGAGCAGAAAGAAGAAATTGACCTGCAAAGAGTTGTATGAGCAAATAATCCATTATTGTCATGCGAGATAGGCTGCCAGACCAGAGGCGGGAGAACTTTTCAAATAAAACAAGTCGACATCTTCCGAACCTCAGATTTTCTGGCTCTGAAGATTAGCTTTGAAAATAAAGTTTTAAAATAATTTAATTGTAAGTGCTCAGAGTGAATTTTTAAATCCTGGCATAGAAATTGCCATTGCGCAAAACATGTAGACCAGAATGAGACCTTTGATAGTAATTGAATTATCTAGACCGGAGTCCTCAACTGAATAAAGGAATAAAAGGAGATGAGAATGAGCATGCAGCCCCCGTCTCCTGCTGTGGGCACGACGATGTGACAGCGCCTAATCTGTCCCGAACTCCTGTCACGAAGGCCCTTGTCAGCTCAAACCCAGAGCCGATCAAATGTTTCTTGAGTGAGAGACCGAGACGCAGCCTGGATGGCAATCCAAGCAGCACAGTTTCTAACTGACTACTCCTTAGTGCAGGTGCAGAGTGTGGTTTAGAAACTGGAGAGTGTTTATTTTTTATTTTTTTATTTTTCTTACTATGAGAAAAGAAAACTATCTTAGGGATTAAGATTAACATTGTTTTGAGTAATATAATTTGTTCCTATGTGATAGAATGGCATTCAATTAACCTTATTTTGTAGTTATAGTACATGTGCTACATAGAAATATATTCACAAAGCTGAGTGATGGCACTGATAACAATATATTGAGAAACGGGTCCTTACCACCAGAGCCACCATGATGGGTCCATGGACGATGTAGAGCAGGTGTGTCTCGACGCTCAGCCAGCAACTGCAGGAAGCGAGGGCGCACATCAGTACAAACATGCTTTCACTGTGGGACACATTAACGTCAAAGCTGGTGTGCACTTACTTGTCATTGTAGTAGAGAGCACGAGTAACGGCATGGATAGTGGTGGGTATCACTGGGAACCCTAAAATTGGGAAAAGCACAAATCAAACTTGGATCCTATGCCAAGAGCTTACTTACAATTGTATGGATAATGGTAGCACTGTCACAAAGATGGTGGCAAATTGAGCTGCCTATCAAGATATTCCCCTGATATGTTTGTATTCAGATTATTTGGTCAAGTCAGACTTGTGGAGTTTGACTAAGAACATCCAGACAATTAAAAGCCTTTTGCCAATTCCTAGGCACAGCAGGTACCTTGTAACTTGTATTATGATCCTTCCTAACACTGTTAAGTTTTTGAAGATGTTTTTGCTGTGAACTGGAACAAGCAAGTCTTTCACTGTGTGAATTATGCTCTCATATAGTGAGATTTTGGGTCATTCTTAAGGGATGTATCGTGGGAGGCTAATTACTATGAAATCTTTAATATTCATATGATTTCTTTTGGGTATTTTATTTTTTATTTACTTTGTGCACATTGATCCTGTTTCCTTTTAAGCAAGTGTTTCAGAGAAGCCAGTGTATTTCTACCTCTCTAAGTTCTGGTTGTGGCTTATAGAGGAAGTGTAGTATCCTCTTCCTTGACTAAATCAAAGTACTAGTAAAGATAAACAAAACTCCCTTTAGCTTTATTTTCAGAAAAATTCAGATACTATCTATTCAGCCAGCCAAATTATATATTGTTAAAGTATGTTTTTTTCCAAGAATGTATTTCAATGCAATAATTTTTCTTTGGAAAAGATTGTTTTTATACTCAGATGTACCTAGTACATGATAATACTATTTGATTTGATTGAAACATCTGTAAAAAGAGGTTTGTTGTTATAGTCAGGTTATGAAATATGTCTCAGAAAAGAATTAAGCTGGTACCCTTCAAATTTTAGTAAGTGAGATACAAAATGAGAAGGTCTCAAACCTTATGTGAAAAGGTTTTCAAATTAAATAATATTGGTTTCTAAATGCTTAAATGAAATAATTCATACCACTGATTACATGTTGGGCTTAAAAATCATTTTGAGCTGGACTATTAGTACAACATATGATTGTGCTGCTCACAGTGCTTCTAACAGACCATTTCCTCATTTGAATTCAAAGACTCAAAATTATTCTCTGGATTTTTTTTGAAGTACATATCTTAGGTTAAGACAGCAAAAAAAATAGGTATTTGGGAATCAGAGACTATGTGCCCAGTCCACTTAAAGAAAAGCATGTTTCCTAGTGATTGGGGGAGACACTACATCTAACTTTTGGGGCCTGACACCATCCTATGGCGAGTGTGGCTTTTTCAATACAAAGTTTTTTTTTTTCTCTGTTTCTGCTCTTCTAGTCCCCAGGACTTATAGCAATCTTTCCTTTTTTTAACCAATGACAGCGAAAATAAGAACAATACTATTCTAATGGATTCCTTTCCTAAAACAAGGAAATCAAAGGAATTCTATTTGTTCAGTATGGAAATCCACTAGAAAGATTTTCTTCATTTTATAGGAAGGGGAATCAGTCAGAGCAGAAAACCACCTGAAGGCATGGCTCTGCTTAGATATCTGAGATGCTGAATATCCCGTGAAGCAACACGGATGAGGAAAAAGGCATCTGGGAAGAATCCTGCTTTGATTTTGTGGTTGTTCAGCCACAGGAAGGGTTTATTATGTCTCTCACAAATCTTGGAGTTCTATTCCATTTTAGATTCTGGATTTGGGAACATTTTACACACAGATGGCTTTGATGTCCTCTAAGGACAATTTAGTTCCCAGAAAACAGCTTTGGAGGGGTGCACATTTTCTGTATCCCAACTTTGAAGAGTATTTTCAGATATGAATTGTGCGTTATTTTATTGAAATTGTAAATCCTAGAACATATGCTACTGTTTTAGTATTTTCCAAAGGAAGTCGTATATTGCCCAACACAGTTTTCTCTGTTCCATTACATCTTCTAACATTCCTGTGAAATGTTTTTCTTGAGAAGTTATTTGGGCTTCCCTTCACTTGTCTTCCTCTCACGCAGAGACAAAACTGTGTCAGGATATAAATGAAGGTGTCTGCTTTAAAAATGTGCTACTCTGTGGCCTCATATTTGTTTCGGGGAGTTGTATTTGGCTTTCTGAGTTTCTTAATGGTAAGGAATGTGGTAGATTTTAGTTTAGGTTTTTTTTCTTTATTTTATTTATTTTTTATTTTATTTTATTTTCGTGTGTGTGTATTGGGTAGAATTTGAGAACAGACTTTGGCAGGCCCCAATAGTTGACTTTCTGTCTTTCAAAATACCTATCTATAAGAAGCAAATCCTTCCTTTTGAAACTTTTTATTTTCTGTGGTGAGAATACTGAACAAGGGATTACTGCCTTAGCCAGCACTGATTAGCAGTGCCCTTCTCTGTGGCTACTGTGAGTGTAATATTCTTTGATTCTACTTGGCTCATGCTAAAGAAGATTTAAATATTGACTTATCAAGGAAGGTTAAGGTATTGTATAAATACTTACTTATTATTCCTTCCTTTTTGATACAGGTAAACAACTCATTTCTTTTCTCTTTGTGTTGGTAAAGTGCTAAGTAGAGATCTCTATTGAGCCAAAGATGCCAACAAGCTTTATAATTAATTTACAGAGCACCAGTATGGAAAGAAAAATGTAAATGTTCCTTCTGTGTCTCTGTCTGACTGTCATAGGTGAGAATAAATTTATACCTAGTGATTGTTTTCATGGGGTATTTTCTGAGTTTGACAGAGAGATACTTCTGAAACACACTTATGGAGAAAATTCCATCAATTTTATTTCAAATAAATAAGTAAACTAGACCTGACAGAAATATGTGAGAGAGGCTGTGCTAAAGACTAGAATGCTGACTGTGTCTCCTGAAATCAAGACCAGAAGAAGGCTATCAACATGCAAATCCAGCTGGATCCAGCTCAAAAGTCAATGTATGAAATACATACCCCAGCCAAGAAGGTAATACCAGCACAGGCGTTGCTCCTCTGCGAACGTAGCCACGACGATGAGAGTGTGAAGATAGATCCCCTCACAGAGCATCCAGAAATAGTTGCAAGCCATCATGTATTGGTGAAAGAAGTGCAGAACCTTGCAACTTATCTGTTAGAAAGAAATGAAGAAGCTTAGAGGAAGGCATGGTTATAGATCTGGTGATAAAGTGAGGAGTGCAATTATGAGCCAACGTATCTGCATTGAACTCTCAAGAATTACCCTGAGTATTTGTTAACATCTGCCTTCTATATTTAGAAATTAAAGGGACAGAATGTTAGTCACAAGTACTGTATGAAAATAGCCACATTGGCCAATGAAGCTGAGGCCACAGAATATTCTTTTCTCCATTAAATTCTGGAGACTTACCTAGACTAGAGCAGTTCATTTTCCTACAAGGTGTCTGAAACTAATAAGTTTCATCCAAATGTTTGACATTAAACTTCTGTACTACTTTCTCACCCTGTGATCCATGAGGTAAATAACCCGAGACATTTTAAGTGCTGCTTCTCAAGCTGATGGGTCTGTCAGCCATGCCTTCTTAACCATAAAGAGGAGATGACCAGGGAGAAAGTTATCTTGTATGGACCTGGAGCCCATGCTGACCTCAGCTTCTGTTTCAGAGGTAACCCTGTGTTTTATATTAGGAACCAAGTGTTTGCCAAATCTTCTCTGTACATTAGGATCAATGACTATTCAGAGAAGACTTAGGAAGCCTACCAGTATAGACTTAAATCTCTTAACCATCTGTATAAGAAAACCACAAACCACGTAACAGAATATCCTGTTATTTCCTAGTCATTTCTAGAGTGGGGTTCCTTATCTTGGCAACATTGACATTTTGAGCGAGATAACTGGTTGCTGTTGTGAAGGGTTGTCCTAGGTTTGTTGGCAGTTAACAGTCTTTCTGCCCTTCAACTAACTATGTCTATTGCATCATGGCTCCAGATGCTTCCACATGTTCTTTGTGGAGCAAAATGTGTCTAGTTAGGAACCCCTACCTGAGGGCACCTAGCATTGATTACCTTCTAACAACTACAAGCCAATGACAACTAGACTCAGCATTCTGATTTTAGATAAAAGGATGTGGCTGTTTGCCCAGCGATTATTTTATCGAATGATATCTATTTTATTACATTGCTCCTCCTAGTGGTACCTTTGAGTCTAGTTGGATTTCAATCTTTTTTTTTTTTTTTTCATAAAGCAATGAAATGAAGTGACTTTTATCCAAAGCACCTTTCTGGGCTTGTAAATTTCTATTGAATGCATAAGAGTTAAAATTCATTTGGTTGGTGAGAAGCGATATGTTGAGCCAATATGTATTCTTCTATGTTTCTTTTCCCTTCAGGATTCATAGGAGAAGACCGGGTTGGTTCATAAAAAAGTAGCTATTCAGCTTTCAAAGGTAGAATCAACCTCTGGTTCAGACCAAGAGGAATAAAAATGTTGAAAATAGGCTATGTCAGGAAATCTAAAGCAATACCTATATATGGTTTGGGAAAGAACACTTCTGACCTTGCAGTGCTTGCCATCAGATTCTCTTCCTTACCAAGATTAGTGGATTGACTCATGCGTCAGTTTTGTATTTACTAAGTAAGTACTACTACGATGGCACCGACATTCATAGCAGTAAAACTAGAAATTCAGTTGAGATTCTAGATTGCTTTTGAAGATTACTCTTTGAAATCCCAGCTTCTCCCGGATTCCTAGAGGCTGTGGTGACTTTTCTCTTGTAGGGGAAGAGATAAGTAGGTGGAGATGGCCTTTTGCCTACATGATTCAGAGTAGCTGAGGTTTCATGTTTAACCAAGCTCATTTTCATTATTTTTAGTATTTACCTTCTGAAAGTCATTATAAATACTGAATTAGCAAGCATTAAGTTGTTCACCTAGGCATAATACAAGGTGAGGGCTCTTTGAGACCCTGGTCACAACTTTTTCATCAAGTAACCACTACATTGCTTTTTTTGTTTTATATGTTTTATGTACAGACATCTTATTTGATACATATGTTATTGATTTATTAATACTGAATGCTTGGCCCATAGCACAATAGCCACTACTTCAGAGAAATGTATTTAATACTTACTTTCTTGATAAGCATATCAAGACTTTTTTGTTTTGCCTTATAACAAATGTATCAAAGGAAAATTAAAAATAATAATCATATATTCCTTAAAGGTTCTATTCTTGCAGAGTTCAATGCTTATGGTCAGAGGAGTGACCTTCTGGTGGTAAGACAGACAAGTAAACAAATAAATGTAATCATGCACAATGACTTCTAGAAATATTTTCTAGTTAATCTGACTATTAAATTATTTTAACAGTTGTTTTCTCAGGTAAATAACAAAGTCTGGCATTTAGAAGAATCAATAAAGCCAACTAGAAGGGCTTGTTTTAAGAACATTAAATTCTCTACTCAATTTGTGGACAACCAGCAAGGAGTGGAGTATTAGATTGTGTCAAAGCTGAACACATTGGTTGGTACTGTAAAGCACTCTGCTCACACTCTAGCTTTTGAACTTTTGAGGGTATGGTGAGGGGGGGGATGCAATATGGACTATTTTATACTAAAAAAGGTGGCTGTCTATAAATTTACTTTTCAATTCCTTATGAAAATATTAAAACAAAATAGAGTGATACAAAGAATCTCTTTCCTCTTTCTTTAGTTATTGAGGGACAAACAAGTTCCTAGGGAAATATAGCAAACATTTAAGACTAAATGGCTTATTATATAAAATTCAAAGAGTTTCAAAATAAATTTGAAATGGGCTAGTGTGCTAACTCCAAAATGCCTTTTCCTGATCTAAAAATTCAAATTTTACTTCTTCCAAGCCTTGTATTTAAAACAGAAACAGACTTTGTTGCTCATTTAAGCGATCTCCAGGCATTCAGGATGTTTATTTGCATCTCCTTGGAGTTTCTGAAGATGTCTTTTCATTAGTTCACTTTAATACTAAAACAGGAGGGTGAAGCTATGTTTACTTAATCAGCAGAGATGAATAAATAATTCAATTTCTAAACATTTAACTTGATGTGCGAAAATATCAAAGATCTGTGATCTATGTTGATTCAATTTTTAGGTTAATTTTAAAATTTAATTTAACATATTGAGTGAGCCTTCAGTCGTTGTTACATATGCAACTGAGTCATCTTTATAGTCTGACTCCTCCACTACTTATATCCAATAATATTCAAATATAGGTGAGCAACAGATGCTTATTCAATTTAAATGAATATGACTTTGTATATGGCTCATCAAGTAGCTCAGCTGACTGTTCAACCCTTAATTAATATAATTAGTTAACACATAAACCAGAATTGTCTATAAGAGTGGACACAGTTTTCAGGGGCTTTAATTTTAATAAAATAGTACTGAAAATCTTGGCAATCTTTGTAAAGATCAGGACGTATCTGAAGGGAACAGGCTGCTGACATCCATAGAAAATGTACAATGCTGGGGTAAACTCTCCAGACCTGAACTTTTATGTTGGTTGCATTTGGATGTTTGTCATGTTTTCTAAGTATCTGGAAAAGGTACCCTCTGATGATGGCACTCCCTAAATAAAACACCCAACTAAATCCTGTTATCTTCTCCTGTGCCCATGCTAGAAGAGCTGCTTGACTGTAAAGCAATTTGCCAAAAAAAAAAAAAAAAAAAAAAAAAAAATGGCCTGCATATGTTCCATTGACTGTACACAGACACTCTCTGGTGGTCCACACTTAACTTCCATTAGCCCAATTTTCTAGTTTCCTTTATTAAGTAAACATATACTATGGCTTGTTTTTCCACAAACTTACAAACAACTTTCAGGTGTCAAATTGACAATTTAAAATATTTATGACTAAATTAATAAAGGTGTCTTGAACTTGATTTAGAATGTTCTGGTTTTTCCTGTTACATGCATTGACTTTCTAAAGTAAAGAAATGGGACGTGGTGTATTTTCAGTATTTGGTATCTTCTGAAATTAGGGAATGTGCAGCAAGAATTATGGCTTTTTTATCTAATAATCCGAATTCCTTGTTCAAGAAGTGAATTTTGTTTAAGAGAATTTATCTTTCATAAAGTTTAGGATTTTTTTTGGCATTTTTAGCTTCATTTCGTTTCCAGCCAGTTCTTTGTTGTCTCTTCATCGTATGCATGATATCTGCATTTTGAATTTTTATGTATGTGACTTACATGCTCTCGGAACTCCTCATTCCCCTGGTATTTTATGTATATTCTTCAGATTGGATAGTTACTCTTGATTAAGCATTGATTTTGCTGAGTCTTTCCTTTGTGGTCTCTGTCTTGCACATAAGCTAATCTAATGTCATATATTTAAAGTTCAGTTCCTCTTCTTTTTGGTTCTAGGATTTCCATGTAGTTCATTTTTAGTAAATTCAACTTTTCTGGTTAAGATTTCTTGTCTTTTTATTATTCACTCACAATTTTAGCATAGTCATGTGACCAGCACATAGTTTGATAATTTAACATCTGGGTTAAATAACAGTTGACCTTAATTCTACTTTCTTTCTTGTAGGCCAGCCAGGCTTGACATACACGGGAACTTTTCTGTTGCAGCCTCCTGAGTGTTGGGATCTCAGGTGTGAATATTCAAACCCAGCTGTCCTTTCTCTTGACAGTACACCACATTGTCTAAAATTGTGTTTTTATCTGGTACCTTTGAACTATTTCTAGATATCATAAATATTGAGATGTTGTAGACTCTGGTTTAGAGTCTAGATTCTGTTATATTCCTTTGAAGTTTTCTCATTTTGTTTGTTTGAATAGGTACTTTACATAGTTAAATCCAAAGCATAAATTCCCATTTGAACTGTTGGTAACTTAAATATCAGTTGAGTTATTTTAGATCTACTAATACTCTTGGATTCCTTTGAACATATCTATCTATCTATCTATCTATCTATCTATCTATCTATCTATCTATCTAGAGAGAGAGAAAGAGAGAGAGAGAGAGAGAGAGAGAGAGAGAGAGAGAGAGAGAGAGAGAGAGAGATATCACCTAAGTTCCTCACCTTTCTGAGAAGAATATCCTTTACTTTTAGGGTCCTGTAATTGCTCTGTTCAAATATTATGCAATATAGGAACTACTCAGCCATAACCATTTTCTCTTAAATTAGACATATAAACTATAACACTTTATGATGATTATAATGGCTGGATAAGAATAAACCAAATTTTAACAACATATTTTTCACCACAGAACTGGTTTTGCTGTTTAAGTAAAATGAAGAATAGTAGGCCAGAGTAGACTTCCCATAATAGCATCCAAGCAAATCTATCACATCTGTTTGTTTCCAGTCTACATTCCCAGAGGATATTGAAATAGGTAACCCCATTTAGTTTAATCTATGTGGACTTGCCATTCCTGTCTCTTTTTTCAGTCATCTCTCCATCGTTTATATGTTCTGCCTTGTACCACCAGCTTTTGGCTGGGAAGGAGCAGTCTTGTTCACCATGGACTTTCCAATACCCAGTGTCTAGATGCAGACAATTCTTTCAGTTTGACCTTTTTGTAACCTCTTAGGATGATGCTTTGGTATGGTCTGATGGTTCAACTGTTGTGGACAAGTGAACGTCAGAAGAAAATCATGCCATTTTCGAGCTTGGGACTCTTTTGTCTTTACGTAGATTAGATGCTATAAAAAATATAATCTGATTGTCTCAGCTTTTGAGGTGCAAAGTGCAAAGGGTTTCCAGTAAGAACCAATCTCCCTGTATTGTCCGCTTTAGAATCAGACAGAAAGTTCAGACAGATATTTCTTTCTAGAAAATGACAAGTATCCTGGCAGCTTTGTTCAGATGCAAAAAGAACAATGCTTTAAAAGCTGCCTCTTGACTCTACATAGAGATCATTGAAAGAACAGATAGAACAAGAAAAGTGAAAATTTAGGTATTATGGAAATGAAATGCTTAAATGACAATGGGCAATTTTCACATCACTCAGTAAACTGAGGATCTATTCAGCCCTTATTTATGGCATGAGTTATTTTGAATTTAACTTGAAAAAAAAAACAAAATAGAAGAAGTGAAGGAATAAGAATCATATCTTTAGTAATACAGGAAATAATAAACCTATCAAAAACTTTGGAGGGAGAAAGTGACTACCTTGATGGAAAAGGTGGTACAGAGCCACAGAGATTCACCACTGTTGAGTGGGATGTTCTATGTTCTTTCCTTCACAACTGCATCAAAGATCTTATTGAAGGGGTACCACCACATTTGGGACATATGAGATGAGCTGACCTCTCTCATCAAGAATGAAATTCTTCTTTTTAATATATTACTTTAGTTATTGGATAGAAAAACTTTTGGGCACTGAGTCACTGGCTTGAGAACAGGGACAAAGATGGAAAATATGTCCCTTCACTGGTTTAGTTTGCTTAGGAGAGAAAAATGTCTTTGAAAATTAAGTACTGTGTTCTTCTTAAAAGGAGACAGATATCCCTATATTATTTGAAATGGAAAGTGTACTGGTGAATAAGCTTTTCTTCAGTTTATGACTATTTATATAATGTTCACCTGATGTTTCAATAAATATTTGTAGATTGACAATGTCAATAACATCCCACTTCCAAAAAGATTTTTCTGTTGCATATTCTTTCCTATTTATTTATTCGCACATTTTTTCCCCTCCTTGTCTCTATTTTTTATGGTGAGGGAAAACCTTCATTTTCTACTATTTGGATTGTTGTTGTTTTTTTTAAGAGAGATAGTTCAAATCAGTACCTTAAAGTAACTTTAAATACATGATTCTGCATATGGCTTAGTGTGGCAGACGCCACGATTCTCCTGCCCGAGACGGACGTAGGTTAGAATCTTTCCCCGTGGGCCACGACCTTATGGTGCTACACAGATTTAATAGAAATGGGTTAATCAAGATGTGGAAGTTAGCCAATAAGAGGCTAGAACTAATGGGTCAGGCAGTAATATAATTAATACAATTTCTGTGTTGTTATTTCAGGGTTTAAGCTAGCTGGGCAGACGGGATCTGGATGGCGGGTTGTGCTGGGCAGCCAGGAGCCAGGCAGGACACAGCCGGCTCCTTTTTACTACAGCTTAGTACGATTGAGAACATAGTCCCTAGGCTTTATATGGTGGCATGGCTTTCTCATTAGACAGGGCAAATTTACTGCCAAGAAAAATGGAGTTTGGGAAAAACAGATGAACCCTCCATGTTACCATCTACTTTATTATCCCCAATTCTCTGGCAATAGGGACATGTCTTCTTTACTCATACTTAAATGATGGGGTCTACTAGAACCACAGAAACAATTTTCTGGATGAAAAATGATTTCCAAGAAATTGGGCTTTGATAAATACACTTGTGATAAACTACATTTGCAAGGTGAGATAATAAAATTTCACCTTGTGTCTTCCAGAGATAGCTTCAAGGACCAGAAACATTTCAAGTATGCCTGTTTAAGAAGATTCCTGAAGCAATTTTTGCTTCCCTCTTTGAGTGGTGCTGCTTGTTTATGGAGGGTTTGATTTAGCCAATTCTCATTGAAAAGCAGCAACTATTCAAATAGGGAAAGTACTGAAGCAAATCCCCTCATTTATTCCTTCTAGGAGAGGGGTAGGCTGTGCACTTTATGGATGTGAGTTAACCTTTAGATTATAATCATTGACTTTTGGCCTATACTATTTAAATGATTTGGTGAGAGGTTTGGGTTTCCACACGTTCTCTCAGGGATAAAATAGACATTTGGGATTGTGAAAGAAAACACACTATGGCATCACTATTCACCATGTAATTGAGCTGATACTGGCAGCCCATTCTCATTTTGTCTAGACTTAGACAAAAGGAAGTTTCACTTTTAGATCCATGGAGAAATATATTCAGATTTGTGTTCTTTTCTTTTGTCATGATCAAAACAGCCACATTTCAAAACAGGCTAAAGTATTACAGACTCTTACAAAGTGTGGCTGCAAAACACAGTATGCTGTGTGAGCCCGGGTTCATTCCTAGAGACAAAGGAGTAGACAGCAGAAGGACATATTGTCGCCTAATAGTATCATTTCTGCCCAGGCTGAAGACTAGCGTTCGAATCTTGAGTGTTCAGTAAACACTTAATTCTTTGTTATAGTGTACCATGTGTTTTCTTTATTTATTCCTATATAGCTAAACTAATGAGTTTGTTAGATTAAAAAGGTACTGGTGGGAGAACCAGCTTTTTGTTTTTCATGCCTTTCTTTTGTTCTAAGGCATGTGAGAGAATCAACCTCTTATCTATACACTACTGGAAAGTGTCCTGTTTATTTCTCTGGCTCTCCTAAGATTTTGTTGACATTTTCCCAGGAAGTCAGCAGCGCAGTGGCCAGGCCAGCCCTCCAAACATTTGCTCACCAGCTTCAATAAAGGTTCTAGGCAATGGAGGAGCCACAGGATAGACACAGATGATTTTGTGATGGCTAAGAACAGCTTGACTGAAAGAATGCCTTGGCATGTCTTCCACTAAGACAGCTTATGAGAGGGAAATCATTTAGCAAAGACAGTTAATGAGACTATTATGAACAAGAAGTTGTGTAATAAAGTCATTGGAAATGACAAGCGTGGAGATGCAAGGACTTAGCCACTTGGTAAGAGTTAGCAGAAACCTTGTGAGCTTACAACAATATTATGCTCTTGGGGAATCCTAAAAGTATTATCCTTCTTTTGGTCTAGGACAACTCCTTAAGAACAAGCAAGGCTTTTTGTTGGTTTATTGGTTTTTTTATTCTCATTTGATGGCTCAGTTTGCACTAGCTTCTACAGTTTCATAGCAAACTTGGTAATGGGGTAGAGACTAGCTTTTTTGGACTGTTTCAAGACGATAATAAGGTCAGCAAGATCCCACAAACTGTGAGGGTCCTCTTTGCTAAGAACAGCAGGGGAGAAAGCTAAGCAGATGGGAGAAAATCTCTTTGTGAGCTTAAGTACTTCACAGTGTGACAGAGCACCAGTCCCAGGGCAGTGTGGTCGGTTATTCAATAACTGAAGTACCGCCCTTTAATGAGAAATGAAAAAGCCAAAACTCAGACAGTCCTGAGAGATGCTTAGTGCATTGCTTCTACTTTGATGGAGTTGGCTCATTAATTAACCATACTATGCATGGCTAATGACGGGAATCATTGCAATGGATGAGACTGCTTTTTTTTAAGAACATAAGAAAATAACAGAGCGTCAAGAGTATAGAAAAGAGAGATAGGATTGAATGAGATTGGGCTAGTTTTGAATCCTATCTCCAAGTAGTCATAACAGGAAAGAAATTTGCCTTCACAGAACTTTAGTTTTCTAACTTTAAATATAGAGTAATATCCACTTCTCACTGGAAATGTTAGCATTAAAATAAATGAGATTAATTTTATTTCAATCCGTTGGAATTTAGAAAGAAAAGTCATCCAGGAAAATCCATTTGATTACACAATCAGGTAAGATGAGACTTTGTGTCCATTAGCAGATGGCAGGGGTTTTAAAGAAGAATCACAACGCATTTCTGAATATATCCAAATGGCAAGTGATTAGCACTGTAGGTTTCGTTAGAAGCCAAATTAAGCTTCTTTCCCATGGTATGCACTGTTATGCAGGATGCATGCTCTGGGCAGATTTCACGCATTTTTTGTCATTGGGTTGGCATAACTGTCAAATGCCAGATTTGAAAAATGAGGCTATCTACAGATGCTCACATAATACAGTTAAGCAGAGAAACAAAAGTTAAAATATGCCCTGGCCAGTTCTGTATGCTAGATAGTTCCAGTTTCTGCTTTTTGGTTCCCTCTCCTCCCCATTCCCACTGTTCTGGAAACATATAGACATCTGTCTACATCTACTAAAGTTTCCTTGATCGCCAGTTTCTGGATTCAGCTCAGTGAATGAGACCCTCTACACAAACTAGTAGATGAGAATGAAATAGGAGAAAGCAAGCCCCCTCCCCCTCCCCCCTTGTGGTTTTGTCCCAGGCTGGTTGTGTCTGGAGACAGAGTCCCGAGTTTTTGAAGGCCAGTCCTCATCATACCACTTCACTGTTATTAGAGTCCATCTTTCCCTCTGCACTCTGGGGCAAGAGTGGAGACAGTTCCCACTGCATTGTCCACATATGTGTGTTATGATGAAATATTTGCATCTGTCAATGTTTCAGAACAGAAAGGATCAAATATTGTCAATTTCATATGCAATGTAATCATTATATCATTAAACTGTTTTGTAATTGACTTCATAGCAACTGAGTTTCAGCATCATGAAAATAGTAACTAGCTAATATTTCTATATCCCCAGTTGACTAAAGTGTAGACACATTTAGAAAGTATTATGAGGAGCACAATCTAAGAGAAAAAGAAAGAATGTTAAAGACAGGTGTGAATTTCATAAGCAACCCTCAGGAAAATTTTGGGAAAAGGAATCCATGGCAGTTCTAGGCGATAGAGCCAAATGACAAGTTCTCAATAATACATAGAATAATGGTGCACATGACATGAGTTTCATGAATGTCTGTCTGGTAGACCCTAAGTTTTTTTTTTATTTCTTTATGTCAATATGGATCTTTTCCAAGTGTGTAGACATAGAACTTGACCATATTTGTGTGATTTATTTGAGTCAATGCACAAGTGCTTACAGCTGAGGTGACTGCAAAAGCACACCCTAGGAGCATAACAATCACTTTTTTTGTCCATATATAATAATCAGTGGCAAACTGGGATTTACTGGAAACCACTGATATGGGACGTCTAGTATTATTTGTATTCCCAAGAAGTGCTCAGTATTATTTCCATAGATATTAGTAGATCATTGTCACTGATAAATTATTGGGTTGTCATAAAACATATGACTCATTGCATAATTCTTACTTACCTATGTTTTAAAGATCCCCACCCATTTAACGTGTAACAATTACTTTCATGAATCACTGATAGGCTTTCTTAATGTAAAACTCAACTTCAGAATTAATTATGATTATACTTTAACTAAGTCACGCTTTGGCATTATGCTTAATATTCATAGGTATTAATATTTATAGGTATTTATAAAATTAAAATCAAAACCCAATAGTGCTTACTGGATCCCGTCGCACCAGGTCACCGTTGGGCACTACCTCAACCAGGTGGATGATGATAATGATAGAGTTTAGAATGTAAGTGAGAAACATGTTCTTGTGCACTGTCACCCTTTGGCATCTCAGGCTCCTGGGAGAAAAACAACAAGAGATTAAACAGAAGAGGACTGATAAAGCAACAAGACACAGAGAATCAATTGCTAGCATTAAAAGTGTATTTTCAGTTATAATGATCAGAACACAGCAGAGCAATCACAACATGAGATTAATTTGGGGATGTCTCTTTATTTCTCAGTTGCTCTTCACCATGGCCAACAAATAAATCATCATGACTCACAACAGTTTTCATTAAAAGGCATGATGCTAAACCCCCACCTTTGAATTCTTTTTTTTAAAATAAAACCACAAGAAAAGTGAAAGAATAAAAAAATGTTCAAAATTATAATTACACAAAATAATAAATGTAGCCATGGCTCAAAGTGCTAGGGGCCATTTTTCGAATCCTTGTTTTGGTAGAGGATTAGTATCTTGCTAAGGATGTGCTCTCCCCTTGGGCTAATTATCTCTAGTATTATCAGGGTAATATTTTAATGAAAATCATATTAGCATTCTATTATTCTTTCTATAAGTCACTATATATTCAAATGCATGTAACATACCTTAAACATAGAGAATTATTTGGATTTGGAACTCAAAAAAAGCTCTCCAGAATTTGTGTTATTCTACAGTCATCATTATTAGTACCATATTGATGATAGCAATGATAATTATACCAAACACTTATATTGCATTTATTTTGTGTCAGTCAATAATTTAGGTACCAGATTATCCATACTGATACTTTTTCAGTTTCTGTGTTACTGTGGTGTTACAATAAAGAACGCACATGTGGCTTACTTTAAATTTACACTGGTAACACAGGAGATGAGGCATAAATTATGGATGTTTTATTTTAATAAAGGTTCATTGTGTATATAAGCTTTTACTGTGGGGTAACCCTTCTCTACTCTGTGAGTATATGTTGCTCTTATTGGTTAACAAAGAGGCCACCTTGGCCTATAGCAAAGCAGAATATAGCTAGGCGGGAAAGCCAAACTGAATATAGGTAGAGAGAAGGGCAGAGTTTGAATAGAAATGAACCAGCAGCCTAAGAAGCATGATGCCAGAAGACTGATTAAAGCCAGGAAAACATAGCCATACATAGATTAATAGAAATTTGTTAATTTAAATGTAAAGGCTAGTTAGTAATTAGCCTGAACTTTAGGACAAACAGTTTGTAATTAATACAAAGCCTCTGAGTGATTAGTTAGAAGTGACTGTGGGATGCGGAGGGACAGAGAAACCTCAATTTACAGCATTTCAAACTTATTTTGATTTGAAATATATGTAGGTGTATTTCTGAGTCTGGAGGGGTTGGGGATGCAACTGTGTGTTTATGAGTGTAGAGATCAGAGGTTAATATTTGAGTCTTCTCTGATTGATCTTTACTTTTTGGGACATAGTCTCCCATTGTGTCTGGAGCTTGCCATTTCAGTTAGATTGGGTGGACACTGAGGACACTGAGCCTCTAGCAACCATGTCTCTCCTGATGCCTTAGTGCTGGGGCTACAGATGAGCTGTACCTGGATTTTTACATGGGTGCTGGGAACCTCTGCTCAGGTCCTCTTGCTTTCACACTAAGCTTTACTCATGAGCCATCTTTCCAGTTCCAAGAGTTCATAATACAAAATATAGTTATTTAAAAGATTTTTATATACATTCATTTAAAGAGAATATGATGCCTTAAATAGTAAGATTATTTTTGAAGTGTTTTTCTCATATATTTTCTGCTTTAATTGTTCATGTATTAAAGGAACAAGTACACCACTTGAATTAGGTTAGGCAGAGACATCATGCTGTGATGGCTTATTTTTTTTTATAATAAAACCATTGTGTTTTCAAATCTCATCTTTCTGGACTCCTATCTGTGAAGTCATAGCAGATGTATATTGCCAGACAATATCCTTAGGCTATTTCACCTATTTTGGCTTTTGTATTTGTCAACTATTGGAGATAGGCATCTCTAAGGAGGAAATATTTACATGAACAAAATAAATAATACCCTCTCCACAAGCTGGGAATTCTACAGAATTTCCACAGCACCTATTTATGTCCATGTTAGAATTTTAGCTTCTGTTCAGGTATTTAGCTCTTATTTCCTCACAGAGAACAAACAGACTTCTCATTTTTCCTCAGCAGTCTTATTTTATGCAACAAAATATAGAAGAGCCTAAATTTTATACTGAAGCTAGTGTAAACATTTAGGTGAAAGATACTATCCCAGAATATAGGACTTTTATAAAAGGGTAATGCAGTACCTCCTGCCTTTATTCTAGAGAATTATTTTCTAATATTTGTCATGTCACAATCTTACCACATGTTAATGTCTCACATATCCTATTGATTCATGCTATAAAATACAAAATTATCATACTAAATTTCCCCACTATGGTGAAACTTTCTCTCTTCCAAGTTAATAACTTCATCATAAGTAATACAACCAAGTATATAGATACAACTTTAGGTTAAATCCTTCACTGGAATTTTGTTCCCAATTATCTTAGAAAGTTATTGTTTGAACAACAACTAAGAAGGTCAATAAATTGGCACTGGGCAATGAACTAAGTTCTTTCAGAAGCTTTCTTTGACCTTACTTGATTGAGTCAAAGTCACAGAGAGAGTCAGAATGCACTCTTCCTTCTCAGTAGGATGCTTTCATATATTGCCAGTCCTACACATGTTCTGGTTAAATTCACTTATCATACAACTCATAATTAGGTTAGCTGCATTTGAACTTGAGGATGTGTGAGTAAAAGAAAATAGAGGATCTTTTCTCATCTGTCCACTATGGAACCTTAGCTGTGTCAAAGGAATTTTTATTGTATGATCACAGGGCCTTTATGGGTTTGCAAAATTAATATGGGAAGGAGACACATTGCCTTTGAGGATGATAAGACTAGATCTTGCTCTCTTTAGAGAAGAGATCAAAGTATGTTTAGCTCATTTCAGTTTTCTTGCTAATTTATCATGCTCCCACAATCCCCATAACTCTACTCTTTCAAGAATTACTGTTATTTATGTAAGCGAAAAATGACGATGATAATAATAAAGTAATGAAGGGTGGTACTTAAAGAACTTTCTTATGATATTGTCTTGCTGAGAATAAAGATGCAAAATAAAGTTGACCCTAAAACAAAAACAAAGCAGTATTTTAAATGTGCTTACTTGAAAAACAGGTAGATCCCCAGGGAAGTAATCAAAGCAGCAATCGACAAAGAATGACCCACAAGAGCCAGGTAGTACAGGGCATATGCATTCTATAGCAGAAAGAGTTGGAAAATCATTTAACTAGATAAACCGTGAATTGGAGAGAAACAGTAGTTTTTATTTCTAAATGTAGGCATAAATCAATAAAGGTTTACACCTTAAAATGTATCTTAAAATTATAACAAATATTTCAGAGGATGAAATTATTTATTCTATATTAATGGTGTACATAGAAACAAACTTTCGAAGAACCACTTTTACTTTCAAAGAACAAAATTTCTTGACACAAAATCATTTAAAATATTGCAGAAGTGATTTTTGAATAAATTAAAAGTTATTATCCCTAATCTTAGTAAGCAATCTAGGTGGATTTTACGTCCTGAGGTCTTGTATTCAGCAACAGGTATGTCAAATTCACTTAAGTGTAGATGAATAATCTTTCCAGATTCCTCTGAACCCTGAAACTTAGAACAACTCAGAGAGATTAGGGAGGTTGGTAGCAGAGCTTTTCACTTTTATTTAACTCTAAATTCAAGGAGATAATACCTTTCTATATCAATTTAAGTAAAATGAAAAATTTCCATTAGTGTTTTCTTGGCTGAAGAAGCCAACATTCTCCTTGTAAGCAATTTGCTAATTCTATCCTTTTTATAACCACAATTAATTTATTTCTGTTCTCTTGCTGTTATGGTAGCTTACTCAAAAGAATATTTTCCTTAGTAAATTCAGAACATTATAGTTTCTTTTTTCACATCTGGTACCTGAAAGAGAGTATTTCTTCTCACAGCCATATCTTTCTTACATGTGGTAAGTGTTTGAGGTCAAACAGCAGCAGTGAGAGTCGTTTATTGATTTGTATTGCTCCTAAAACCCTAACTAACATAGTCATATGAACCTAATTAACATGCACTCATGAAATTCCCTACATGGTTATATCACTTCCATCAAACTTCATTAGGTGACTAGTTCTCCATTAGAGAATAAACATGTATCTATGATGTGGAATAGTTAAATGTTTTGTAAAGGGGCCAAAAAACTTTGTTGACCTCATCTGATCTTGAAGGTGTCCCACTAGTCAACTGGTCTTTATTTACTTTGGTTTTGTTGTTGTTATTTTTTTCAGTTTTAATAAATGAAAACATTTATATGCTTCTGAACTTTTCAAAAGCTAAACAAAGCATGAAGTGCTTTTAGTTTCTGACTTAACGCACAGGTCTCTCTTTGAAGGAAATGATTGGTCCATGTGGTAGCTAGCAGGATCCTTCAGAGATTTTCTTTACAGCTGAATATCAATGTCATTTCTCCCTGCCCTCACAGTAAAGGAGCTAGTGGTAGATTTAGTAATATCTTCAGATTTTTAATGTAACTAAAGACAAAATAGCATATGTTTCCCTCCTCAAGGGACTTAAATAAGAGTTTTAAAGCCAAGATATTATTAGAAGTATTTCACAGTCTGTAAGGCACAAGTATTATCAAATTGGAGTAAACATGTCTGGAAATTACCTGTACTGCCCTCAATATATCAGTGGATCAATGGGAAGCTTCACCATACGCAATAGTAAAATTGAGATCATATCCAACATGTGTGTTAAAAGGATGTAACTTTAACTTGTTGATTTCTGAAAACTGGAGGTTATGGAACTCTCTCAGGAGGAGGAAGATATTAGTGAGTCCCTTAAAAATGCTGCCTAATTCTTGGCACCAAAGGAAATCCCATCATGAGCTGTGTATAAAGAATTATCTTTATCATCACTGGCTTAATTTTACATTCAAGCAGAGCTTACATGCAGTTTCTCAGAAGTGAAAGCATTACACAGGGTGTAGTTGGACCAGGTTCGATTGCTGTCGGGGTGTCTGAACCATTCTCCATTTTCATCACAGTATTTCGAAGCTTTCTCTGTTAATGGAACAGAATGGTAGTGCATTAATATCTCAGATCTAAAGAAGAAAAATAATAGTCTAAAGCTCACAAGCCATTCCTAAGAGTGAATCAAATTGTAGAACACAAACATAGAGATAACATGGGACATCTTGCCACTTTGGCATTTACTGTGATAGAGTGAGTCTAGGTACAGGGTCTCAGAAGCCTCCTTGGTAAATGCTCCTGTTTACTCTCTACCATATTACTGTAAGCTATGTCCTCTTCAGAATCCAATACTGAACTCACTTGTTCACTATTTGCTTTTGTGCTGTGTATGTGTGTGTGTGTATGTTCGTGTGTGTGTGCGGTGTGTGCAGAGCACAGAGGTAGGTGTGTTGTAAATTTTCTTAATTGTTTTCCCTCTTATGCTTTGAGACATGATCTCCTAATGAACCTGGAGCTCGCCAATTTGGATAACGTGGACGTATCTTTCTGCCTCTGCTTTCCCAGCACTGGGATATGAGGGTGTGCCTCTGTGATGAGATTTTAATGTGGGTGTTGGGGAAAAAACTCACATCTTCCTGCCTTTACAAACTTGCTGATTGAGACTCCTCAGCCCACCCCCATCTGTCTTATACCAAGCACTTCTTCAAACACGAAACCTCTTGACATTTCCCTGGAGTGTTTTTGTGATACTAAGATGGAGCCCTATGTCAACAAAAAATCATAAGGAGTTGAAATGCGTTGAAGACAAATGTGCTTTTCTTTAGAAGTGATTTTGACTCTAACTAATATGGATACATCTAAAAACTAGACTGAAAAGACAGACCTATGATTGGAAATCTCCACTTTGCTTATCAAAACCTTACCTTTAAGTTAATATTTATAGCTACTTTGGCAAGAGCTCATTGCTAGTTTTGAACTGGCTTACTACTCTCAATTGCAGAACAGCCTTTTTCTTCCAGTCAAGTCACTTTAAATGAAGTGGCAGATCAAGATAAATGAATCGCCATGTGTTGGACAGAGATAATAAGGGCTTGAAGGATTCTCATCCTGCAGCGTTGTAGTTTCAGTTACAGGAATGCAGCTCAGAATCCTCTGTCATACAGCACCTTCCAGAACGAGATTCCTGGAAGTGTCTGGCCTACACTTTTTTTTTTATTTTGTTTCACATTATTTTTAAAAGAAGCCCTTGTAATTATACTTTGATTATATCTATTGTTCTTGGATAGGATTTTGGCTTTAATAAGTGAGATCTTTCCTTGAAGAGAGCCCCTAAAGTATTTTCCAAATATTGTCTCAGAGAAAAGTTCATATCTGATTTTATGGAGATCTAGAGAAACTTAAACACCTTTGGCTGGATCAGAATGGTTTGACTTTTGCAAAAATATCTCATCTTTTTCTAGAAACTGATATGTTGTGTCTCTAGCTGATCCCATCTAGATTCGTTTTCTCATCTGGACCTCTTTTATAACTGAAGTTTATGTATCCTTCTCAGCGTCTTCTAGATTTAATTCAGTGGGACAGATCTTTCTTTTTCTTTGGTGGCTGGGCATGATTTTTCTGGCTCTCACCAGGCTGTTCCCATAGTAAGTAACTACCCCCACTAACCCTTTGGTGTCTGCCTTCTCAAACTCATCTGCTGTATGCTGCTCCTAAAGCAAGCTGTTCAGTAGGGTTAATTGGCCTGCCAAGCCCCTAATCACTTCTAGGCCTGGATTTTCTTCATCTTTTATTAGATTCAATTTGCCCAATGCCATTTTCTACTCACATTTTTTTTTTCTGTATAGTTCTGGACTGAGGCTGTGAGAATCTACCCATATGCCACTGTACTATTTCTAAGTATTGATTATGGAACTACTTAAATTTCAGATCTCTATGCATGACAGTATTAAAATACGTGACATTAACCCTTTAATCTCCCATGTCATTTAGAACCTGATCCTCCTAGACTGTCATTCTGCTTGAGCATTCTGTGTTGGCATCTACAATATGTATGTGACAGGATCAAGACCTGAAAAATCAACGTGTCTTCTCTTAAAAGTTATGAATATACAATTTGTACAAGTTTGCATGAAGATTAAGAAATATTTAATTCTTAATTGAGGGATGTCAAGATCATATGCTGAGTTAGAGTCAACGCAGTTTTGTGTTAAATACTGTAAGTATAAAAGGATAATAATAGTATGAAAATACGTTACAATGTGAAAGGTGATGTCAATGTGAAATATTGTATGTAACTTTCATAGTTCAGGGGCATTTGGATAACAAAAATCATAAGTGAAACTAAGACCTTACCAGTCACGTCAAAGTCTGGAAAGTAGTCTGGGCAGTTCTGATAGGCCGTCACTCCAGCTGGCGTGTCATCCCAGCACAGCCACCCATCCCAGGTACGGTTGCAATATAGGCCTGGGAGTTTAGAGAGAAGTTGCCATTGGAAGATGCGACCTAACGACAGGACTGTGTAGAAGAAGCTGTCTTCATAAGGAGGGCTGACCCTACCACTGCAATCAAGACTAATCATACTTCAAATGGGCCGTTTTTACTTTGGAAATAAACTTTCAGATGATTTTAATATATGTGGAGAAATATCTCACTGGATGACAGGCAGGTTCTTTTTTGCTTTGTAAGAAGTTCTGAGGTTGGTTTCTTATAAAAGAAGGAACCCTAAATGTTGCATTTCTGTCCATTTATTTAATTGATGAGGAAATATAACGTGTTGCTCAGAAATCGTCAAATGGGATCTGAGGTATGTTTATAAGTTTTTACTTATAGAAAATTAACCTTTTAAAAAGTGTTTACCCAAGAAGCTGAATTTAAGTTGTAACATGCAAGTCAAGGAACGTTCAGCATTGCAGTTTGAAGAAAAACTCGGTGAGGGCATTATTTATCAAAATTCATGACACAAATTAATTCCTCAAAAATCTGAAATAAATTTACATAGAGATGAGGATATTTTCTAATTTAGTAAAATACATCAGTATGATGCATCTAATAAACTTTTTGTTTAGTTATTACTTAAAAAAACCTGTACATTAGTAGAGTATACTTAATCATTTCTCCCTTGCTAAGTAGCTTTGTTTTATAGTGTTTAAAGTTATGCAAAAGTCTTAATTGAATTTAAGTGTTTCAGAGACAAGGAAGAGAATTAAAAGGCCATTTTAAGTTTGGCTAACAAACATTCTTCATTTTTATTTTTCTCTGGGATTTCCACAGCAGTAGACTACACTTAGCCCTGAAAATATTTAGGCTGTTTCAGAGAAGAAGGACATAGATTAACAATGCTCCCGGAGGCAAACTCTTTTTTCTTCTTATTCCCCATGGGACTGGGGGTGGGGTAGCAAGAGAGAAAAGATAACAGAGGTTGTCAATGAATTGACATCGAAGGAAAGATGTGCCTAATTAATCCAAACAAGACAGGGGTTGACCAGGTTCTGCCTCAGGCAGTCTCTGCTCATCTCTTTCCATTTCCCCGCCATCCTTCAGTCCTGTATTGTTCCTGCTTATTAGGTGTGAGTGCTGTGTTATTGTTGTAATTCTGTCGGGAGGGCAAATGACAGCTAAAATGATGTTAGAGGAAGCAGGGGGAAATCATTTCTGCTGCACAAAAGAGACAAGCACATCCTAATGCGGGGACTGAGAACCTGTTCTGCTCCAGCTCTCCATCACTGTAGACCTTAGGAAGAAACGCTCTTACATGATCTTTCACATATAGGTTCACATGACTTCTCTTACCTTCTCCTTCATAAGGGGGCAGCTCCTGAATTCTGTCATAGCAGCCGTACTGGGCTTCCAGCAGCTTCTTGCGCCCAATGGTGCGCAGAAATGCCTCATTAGTAGGGCTGGGTTCACTGAGATTGGCAGGGGCCTGAACAGCTGGAGTTGGGCTCTGTGTAAAGTAGGTTATAAAGTAACATGTAAATAAAAGTGATGATTTTAAAAGTATAAAAACTTTTTTATTTTATAAGCAACATTTATGCATAATTCCAAAGAAATATTCTATACTAAATGTATTACATTTCACATTCATATTTTATCCATTTATATTCGTACCAATATCTATTTGCTACTAAGAATATAGGGCAACCACACACACTCACACACACCTTGATCATCTCCTATTTTAATTCCATTGTCTTTGGAAAGTTTACACATCATCAAAGCAAATAATTTTATTTCTGAAACATTTCCATTATTAAGCCAACTTTTCCATCTTTTGGAATCTTAAGAATCATAGCTCACATTTTTAAAAACGTAGAAATGGTGGAATAAATATGCTTCCCTTTTGTAATTATTTTGCTCAGGTTTAGATCGTATGCTCTGCCAAAATTTGCCTCATTTATCCTTCAGAACAATCCAAATAATAGACTTTAAGCTCTTCATGTTGGCTCCACGAGCATTTGACCTGCACCCAGTCATTCATGTTCAGTGAGGAAAGCAAAGGTAATACTTAAATGTTTATATTGGTACATCAGGGTTCAGAACAAGTTGACTTTGTTTTCCATTTCATCACTGCCACAGGTCTTAGGTTCTTATAAGTTGTGTTTTTGAACATGTGTGTATGTGTGACTATTTACTGAAAATGACAAGCCAAGCATTACTAAGGATGCAGTGTTGAAGCAAACAGGTGTGGATCCTGCTCCCGTGGAGCGTACAGTCTAAAACCCCAGTGCTGCGCATGCTCCTGACACCGGTCAAGAGGAGTGGGGATGGCATGGAAGCAGGAGCCGGGAGTGGTTGTGCTGATTGGCGTCCACTCACACTCACCATTCTTCCAATACTGAAACAAACTCCAGTGAACTTGGTTTGGAGCTTGGTTCAGTAGAGGTTGTTTCAACACTGAAAGAATAAAATCAGAACCTCTGTTGTCAGATGAACCACGGCATTCTGGACCTGCTCCTGGTCTGGTCCTTGCTTGAACACTGAAGGTGGGATGTTCCCAGTGGTTCCTGAATCTCTCAATGACTTTCTTCCTAAAATTACACGCACCTTGGGTACTCCATTGACAGATGGATGGATGGATAGATAGGCAGATAGAAATGTGTAAATGCAGATAGAAATATATGACATTTCTAATCATGAAATTAGTACTGCTTAAAACAATATATTTACAACTTTCATATTGTTAATTAAACTTTTCTAATAATTGCATGCAAACAAATTACTAATGAGATAGCATTATTTCCAACAGTAAGAAGGAAAAATAAAGCCAGCAGTGATACCATGAAACAATCAGGCAATATGGAAGATGTGAAGAGATTCTACTAATTTTAAATATTGTGCTTACGCTATCACGATGCCATGCTTACAAAGGTGGCAAGGAGACATGAGCGCGTTACATAACCCGCCTGACCGATCTGCCTCCCGACACCTTAATTGTTGTTCTAGGTAGCAGTTCAGCTGTCATATATGCGGTGTCATTCAGAGGATTGCAGAAGGTATCATCACACATATCACAACCGAGCTGCCACAGAGCAGTCAGCAGGTGAGGCATTACACTCTTGTATTTTTGCAGTAAATACTCTAAATGTCTCCCTTACGCCAGGTCCTGTAGTAGGTTCTCAAAATTCAGCAGCAAATTCACTAGCATGGTTTCTGCCCCCATGGAGCGTACATTCTAGAAGGTTTAATTCATACTGAACATGAAGGACGAAAGAAAATACCTCAAATAAAATGACTACATGTTAAGGTAACTCCTAATTTGATGTGGGACAATCAGTTTTTTTTTTTTTTTTGAGGGGTTACCAGTGGTTTCTAGAACGATTGTAACAGAGTCTGTTCAGCCTAGAATGTTCAAAACAGTTCACTTCTGCTTAGTTTTTGCTCTGGATCCGTGCTACTGTGCTGAAGACAGCACTGCATGTAATTGTATCAGGCACAATTGCTCACAAAAGACTATGCATTCATTGACTTTCTAAACATTTAATTGAGAGGAAAGTGTTAAACAGCCTATTTGAGTCATTACTAACTTTAACATATGAAATGATCCCATTATAACCCATAAATTAGAACAATTAAAGTAGTAATTGTAAGAAAGAATATTAGCAAGGTTTAGAAATTGGCATAATTAATAAGATTTCCATGCCAATATCCTTATTACTGAGTGTATATGTTACAATTACTTATGGTTTTGAGTTACGTTTTTCTGTATAACTAAGGATGAGGCGCAGTGCTCTAGTGTGTTGACCCTGTTTTCCTACTGTGATCAGATGCCTGTTTGGTGTTCTATTTTCTGGGGGGACACAACTACGCAGACAAAGAATGACAAAAATTAAAATTCTTCTGCAAGAATCTTGTTTCTGTCTGTGTTTTCCTCGGTATTGTCACAGTTGCCAGTGCCTTCCTCCCAGCATTGTCTGAGTGCTCCCTGCTGACCAGCACTGTCCTATGCCCATAGGGAGTGGCAATCACTGTGTGATTGATGTAGAAGAGACCACAGGAAGGTGCTTGGCCAAAGACAAAAAAATATCTATTTTAAGGACAAACTGGGAAATGAGTTGGTAGAATTTAATAAATATATTGTGAGTAGTTTTTCACATTAATCTGTGAATGTTATGTAAAAAGTGATGGTTTAGGATAATTAAGAGTATTTTACTTAAATTTATTTCTGAGGTGTATCAATAATAAATAAGCTGTTTGAAAGGAATTGGTGTATCAAATTTTTAAAAAAATCATACCTATTTCTTCTCTAAGTCCTTCCAGGGAGGGAAAGAATATTTTCAAAACATATTTAAATTTAAAAGTTGCTTTAAATAATGAAAATACTATGAAATAAAATTATGCCCCAAATCATGTGCTTTAAGATCAATAAATACCATACTTCTACATTCATAAATGTTATGTAAGGGTTAGGCATTTATAAACAAAATTAAACTGTCTACCTTTTCAACACTCTCATTGAGGAACTTGTTTAGATTTATGATATGAAGTAACCTGAATGTACAAGTATTGGGTTAATTTTATAAAATTATATTTTGCTAAAGAAATTTTCACTAATTTTAAACAATGTGCTACTTTGGCAGATTATTAAACTAAGAGGTACAAAATGATTGCTAGACATTCCCATAAACATTTATTTGATCTACAAACATTCCCTTTCAAATTAGATTCATCTTTACCAAAAGGCAGTATTTTTTTTCTTTACTTATACAGGTGAAGGAGTCTAGGTGGACTTGCAAACCTGCCACTATATGTTAAAGAATAGATAAATGATGTTCTGGAACCCATTTCAAACCCTGCTTGGGTACAGAGTAGGAGATTTTAAATGATATTTATTGGCAACTGTGATTCAGCCTCCAATGTTGTTCTAATATGGCCTTCATTTGCTCATCTCCGCTTTAGATAATACTGAAGGTCATGTGATGGCATGTTGATACAAACAGACACTGATAGTGTCTTCTAAAGTAATTACACTTCTAACTAGCTAAATCTTTATGAATAAAGCAACATGAAGTTATATAATGTGCCAGTGGTTCCTCAAATACTGAAGAGTCTTAGTTTTGATCAGAAATATATCGGAAATCAGTCACTAGACTGATGGAATTTAGACTTTTTTCTTTTTTTCCCTTTCTTTTTTCTTTTCTTTTTGTGGCATGTGCCACAACTACTCGGCGGAATTTGAATGTTTTAAAAGTATAGAAGAGTTCAGAAGCCACAATTCAAACTCACATTTGAAAACCACACAAAGATTCAGGAAAATTCTCAACTTTCTGTACTATGGAGGTGACTCAGTTTCTTACTGACTTTCCCAAACAAGTGGAATTCAATTGTCTAGTTAAACTATGATGATATTTAAAATGATCAGAAGTTCAAAGGAAAGACTTGTTAACAAATGTGAGGAAAAATGACAGTTTGAAGAAACCAAGTTTTGGATTCCTTGCAATTGTCAGTTCATCAACACTCAGACACTCTTCTCTACTCTGCACACTTATTAACACAAATGGAATACTTTTCTCCACTTACGAGAAGAAGCAGGAGCAGCAGAGTGAACCGGTTCACCAAATGGAACCTCAACCTCGGTTTGCGAAGGTTCCCCCTTCTCCTAGAAATATATAAAAGTAACAAAGATTTAAAAATATATATAGATCAAATATCTTTACATCATTCCCTCTTTAGACACACTAAATATAATATATGGAAACAAGAATATTATGCCCATGACATACTTGCAGGTACATGTTACATTTGTCCCTTCTGTTAACCAGAGTGGTGTCCTTAAGACACTATTAAAAATTTCTGGTCATATCTATTAACGTTTTTTTCAGCTCAAACGAGATTTCCTCGATTTAAAATGTTTTAAGTTGAATGAAACAGTTTAATACAGGTTATAAGAGAGAAGGAAAGATATATAACTGACCATATGGGGGCAGGGAGCCAGGGGAAATGTGTATTAATAAGATAACCAGGTCATGAAATACATTTTAGAATATCAAGAAGTATATAGGTACAATTTTAGCACTAACTTTATAATAGCACTAACTAGTATAATTTATTATTATTTCTCAAGTTTAGCAAACCATGTGTATTATGCTATAAAACAAGCAATAGGAAACAAAATACAATACTTACTAGAATGTTCACCAGATATTCAAATCAGGCCATTAAAACTTTTTTCACTGAGATAATTTCAATATTTTTTATTACTAATCTAAAAGGCTAATTATTGCAGTTGGTATACACATAAAACAAATAATACATATACAATGCATTTTTTGAAGCTTAAATATAACAATAAATATGAAGATTAAACTTATATAACAACTTTGCATTTCATAACTGAAATACAGGAATTCTAAGAAATCGAGAACCATCAGCTGACTTGAATAGTATGTTCAACAGTGGAAACTGGTGAATATTGCAATGGGGCTATCAGGAAGAACTCATTTCTCTGGCCATCAGTAAACAAAATCTGTGGTTTGTGAAAGATAAATAACATTAGGTTAACTCCTAAAGTAATTTGAGAATGACAAGTATTTTTTTTTATAAATATGTTTCTTTAAACTTCAGGTTTCTATTGAGAGTAAAGTTCTTCCACAGCAAAGAATGAGTACACCATTCAAGAGCTCACTGCCCCTGCTCAAGAGCCCAAGAGTTAGAACAGACTGCTCTGTCACAAATATCCAACAGATTCTCATGAACTTGCAGATACCTACAAAGATGATAAAGAGGTGAACATTTTAATATATGCTACATTTTAATGAATAGTATTTGAGTGGATATTGTATTTTTATTAGGGGTGAGAGATTATGATTGTGTCTTAAATGGTATAATTACCTCTAACACTCCACCCATTGTTTCGCTTACATATTTAAATTGGAGTCTAAAAAGTGTGTGTCATGTACTTGCTTCTCTAAAAGAGTAAGTTTTACTCAATTTACATAATAGTGCAACAATAAAGGGAAACTACAAAGTATCATTTTGAAATGCCACCTTATATTCTGACTATTGTTCATTAGTATTGATTGATCCACTTAGTAAAGTAGACACATGCATGCTTATATTCTAAGGCATTATGATGAACGTGGGTGAGCTGGGTGAGACACTTTGGAGAATTAGGGAGGTGGTATGCATTTTAAATTATGATGTGAACAATAACTAAAATATAGACTGAACTAAACATTCATCAGCACTGAAAATACAGATCCAGGCAATTTCTGATTAAGAGGACCAGAGTAGGGTTTATGTTTTGACATATAATAGGAAAACTAAGCAGGGTTGTGAAAAGCAAAGACCTACAAGAAAGGAAAACTACAAACAGGATGTGGAGATAAGAGAGAGGCTAATTGAAGAATACTAGGTTGAAGAGACTAACTTTGCCTGAGCAGAAACCTCTCATATGATGCAAACAAGTCTAGAGAAGCAGACTTTTGAGTATGTAGGAAACTTATTTAACTAAACAATCTTTGCCATTTTGCATATGTGCCATATACCCTGACAGTTTTACTTGATTCGAGCTCCTCTCAGATAATTGCTTTTTAATATACCTATGTATGTCCGGCACCCCTCCTAATCACTTAAGTGTGATTATTCCCATTATTCAAAATGGTGTTTTTTGGGGGGGCTAACAAAATAAGAGAGACATATGACTGTGAGTTTTTAACTGTCTTTGCCATACCACAATGGTAGTAAGTCAGAACTGCTATTTTCCTCTACACTTTTGTATTTTCCATACCAGAGACTTGTTCAATTATCCATAAATTCTCTGAATGAGAAACTAGGGACCAACCTAAACTTTCTTTTTATTTAATGACTCATTTTCTAGAAATTTAAATCACTTAAATTTTTTTTTTTTTTGCCTGATTGCTCAAACACTTGCAAAGATTTTGTAAAGTTAACTGGGTTGCTTTAACAAACCAGGAGATTAAGTGAGATTAATGGCATAGGCACGGCTGATCAAGTTGGACCTCTAAATATTAAACACGGTGATGTGAACAACTTTCACCAAATCAGTGGTTTCCTCCCATGATCTAAACAGCTAATATCTGAAGCTCTGATCTGAGGGGCTTCGATCTAAAGCAATGGCTTTAGTCAATTTCCATATTGCGATTGAACTTTTAGCTGAAGTGACCAAGCTGTTTTCTTAAAGAATGAGTAGTAACATTCATGCCTACACCCTGATTTCTCATGTGGGAAACAGAGCCAGCCAAATACTTCCACATAAACTACGTGAATTATAAATTTAAATTCAGTTTAAATAAACGCTGGCAAGATGAATATTGAAATAATTTAGAAAGGCATAAGGGCAGAATCCATTTCAAACGAATTCATAACTTAGAAGAATTTTCAAATATAAAAAAAATTGAGTAATTTCCTTATAGTGCCATTAATTAATGTGTTGTTAAATGCTTTGGAGGTTCTCTGTCATGTCAGCAGGTTAATTGCAGTTCAGTTACAGTGTGTCTTTTAATAACGGAAAAATGATTTTCAAGGAGCTCTGTATTACATAGCAAATTTGGTATTTATAAGGAACAGAAAATCTGACTGTATAGTATACTGTTCTATTTACCCACCCACCAATGCACAGATAATCACCAATTACAGAAAGATAAACCACTTAATCTCATGGTTTATTTCAAAAATGGTAAACAAAACCAATGACATGTTTTTGGAGGCCAGAGGTCACACAAGGTCTATTACTGTTTCTGGCCTGGAACTTGTCAGATAGGCTCAGTTAGCTGGGTTGTGAACCAAGGGAGTTACCTCTGTCCACCTCCCTGTCAGTGGAATTTCCAGAGCACTCTGCCATACCTGCACTTCTAAGATCTTAAAGTGGATTCTAGAGATATTAATTAAAGCCCCTATGCTTGTACTTCATTACTTGAGTCACTTCCTCTGCCCCCAACTGGTATGGGAGGTCCTTCTGTCTATGTGTTGCTTTTATTGACTAATGAATAAAGAAGCTGCCTTGGCCTGTAATAGGACAGAGTGGAGTTAGGCAGAAAAACTAAACTGAATGCTGGGAGAAAGAAGGCAGAGTCGCCAGAAGCCATGAATCCATTAGAGGAGGAAGACTCAAGCTGCCAGCCAGAACTTTGTTGGTAGGTAGGCCACAAGTCTAATGGTAAAATATAAAATAATGGAAATGGGTTAAGCAAAGATATAAGCGCTAGCTAGCAATGTACTTAGGCTGTTGATCAAGCAGCACTTTAAATAATACAGTTTCCATGTGGTTATTTTGAGTCTCGGCAGCTGGGAACAAAAATGTAATCTCTAACAACACCCAAAGGCACATTTTGAAGTTCTACTTAGAAATTAGTTCCCTCATAAAATTATAGAAGAGAATAATTAAATCAGTTCTAAAGAGATGTCTTTACATTTAAATGAGACTCAATATTTATTTAAAAAGAGATTAATAGAAGAGTGATTATCCTAAATGAGTCTATTGTAAGGTGTGGTCTACTTTTCTTATGCAATAGTATCAAAAATACAAAATGCTACTGCACATGTTTAGGAAGAAAGATGGTAATAACTTGTTCATGTAATATATTTTCCTTATATCCACATATCTATTGGTACTTTCATCAGAGGAAGAAAGAGAACTGGGAAGAGAGGGAGGACGAGCAGGAGGGAGAAGGTGGGGAAAAGCAAAGGAGTAATGAATAACAATCAAGGGAGCTAGAAAGGCAGAACCACACACACACACAGAGGGAGGACAGAGAGAATATATCACATAGGATTTCACAGTAGGACTATGAAAACAATATTGTAACTTCTTCAGGTGGTAAGATTGTAACCAGTTTTATTTTCAAATTTTCATAAAGCTAGAAATTTTTTATTATTTATTATTTAACAAAAGCCAATTCAAGTTCCCACTTCCTCCCCTCCTCCCATTCCTTCCATGCACCCTCCCATCCCACCCACCTCTAATCCTAAGAAAGGGTAAGGCACTTTGCCTTGTGGAAAGTCCAATGCCCTCCCCACTCCATCTAGGCTGAGTAAGGTTTGCATCCAAAGAGAATAGCATCCCCAAAAGCTAGTACATGTAGCAGAGACAAATGCCAGTGCCACTGTTAGTGATTGTCAGTCTGCCCCACCTGTCAACCATATTCAGAGGGACTAGTTTGGTCCTACGCTTGTTCATTCTCAGTCCAGTTGGAGCTGGTGAGCTCCCATTAGCTTAGACAAACTGTCTCGGTGGATTACTCCTCATGGTCTTGACCTCTTTGCTCATATTCTCATTCCTTCCACTCTTCAACTGGACATTGGGAGCTCAGTCCAGTGCTCCTATGTGGGTCTCTGCCTCTGTTTCCACTTGTTGTTGGATGAAGGTTCTATGGTGATATTTAAGATAATCATCTGTCTGACTACAGGACAAGGCTAGTTCAGGCCCCCTCTCCTCTGTTGCTTAAGGTCTTAGCTGGGGTCATCCTTGTGGATTACTTGGAATTTTTCTAGAGCCAGGTTTCTTGCTAACCCCATAATGGCTCCCTTAATCAAGATATCTCTTTCCTTGCTCTCATATCTGTCCTTCCTCCATCTCAACTATCCTATTACCTCAAGTTCTCCTCAGCCCTCCCCTTGTCCCCTTTTCTTCCCCTTCTC